TTTAGCTGACGCGAAATAAAATATAGCATAGAAATTGAGTGAGAGTATGACCTACTTATAACGAGTGATCCAAGTATAATTACTTTTTTAATAGCCTTTTTTGACAGATTGTGTCAAAAATTATTTGTCAATTCATCATGGAAAGACGTTTACAAATCGTTCAACTTTATTACGAAAATTCGCGTACTATTCGCAACACTATCACCCATCTGGACATCATCCATCAAAATTTATTATTGGATAATATTCGACTGAATAGACCACGTCCAGCAAGCAGTGAAGAAAATATAGCGGCCGTAGCTGAGGGTGTTCACGAAGACCATGGAGAGTCGATTGGGCACCGTTCGTTGCAACTCGGTCTGACGTATGGAACGACTTGGTGCATTTTACGTCGAGATCTTAAATCTAAAACATACAAAATGCAGCTTGTGCAAGAACTGAAGCCGCTCGACTTTCCCAAGCGACATCGCTTCACTCTATGGCCTCTTGAAAAGTTCCAGGAAGATGGGACGTTTTCGAGCCACATTTTTGTCAGCGCTGAGACCCATTTCTGGCTCAATGGGTGTGTAAACAATCAATTCAATAATACCAAATCACTTAATAAGCATTATTTGTAAATTCATTGAAAGATTAATAAACTATGAACTTTCGTTTTAAGAAATATTTTTCAATAAAATCAGTCTGATTTCCATATTCGCTCTTAATCAAATAATTTGTCTTTTATTTAAAAAACCGTTTGTCGCGACGCAAAACTTAGTCCTCATGTCATTCGCCAGTCGAAATGCTCCAACGAGTCATCGGAAATTGGACTCATCTGAAAGAGATAATATTCAAAAAGTAAATCCGTCTGACTGTCTGTCTGTCCATCCGCGCAAACTGGAACTTGAGTAAAAATTAGGATATCTTGATGAAACTTTGTATACATGGTCCTTGGCATCATTTAACGTTTGGTATTGTATATGTGCCTTACCGTCATTAAACCAACATCGCCATACTTACAGTGGGACTAATTTGAAAAACCAAAAATTTATATTTATGTTACAGTTTTTATACTCTCGCAACTTCTTGCTACAGAGTATAATAAGTTTGTTCATCTAACAGTTGTTTGTATCACCTAAAACTAATCGAGTTAGATATAGGGTTATAGGTATATATATAAATGATCAGGATGAAGAGACAAGTTGAAATTCGTCTGTCTGTCCGTCCGTCTGTCCAAGTTGTAACTTGAGTAACAAATGAGATATCTTAATGAAACTTGGTACACATGTTTCTTGGTACCGTAAGACGGTTGGTATTGCAGATGGGCGTCATCTTACCACTGCCACGCCCACAAAACGCCATTAATCAAAAATAAATGAATTACCATAACTAAGCTCCACAACAAGATACAAGACTCTTATTTGGTATACAGCATCACATTAGGGAGGCTCATCTGCAGTTTAATTTTATTTTTTAAGTGGGCGTGATCCCGCCTCCTAATAAGTTTAATGTGCATATCTCCTATAACACTGAAGCTATAATAACAAAATTCACTGGGAACAAATGTTTTTAGCATTTCTATCGACGGTGTGAAATCGGGTGACAACCCCTCCCACTCCCCATATAACGGTACTGTTAAAAACTACTAAACTACTAAAAGCGCGATAAATCAAGCACTAAACAAGCCAGAGACATTAAATTTTATCTCTGGGATGGTATAAGATGATTTTATAGGAACCATATCTTGGGATCTGCTTGACCGATTTCAACCAAATTCGGTACATAATATTCTTCTCATATTTCTTTGTTATAGTACGAAAATAAGCGAAATCGGATTACAACTACGCCTATTTCCCATATAACGTCATTTTAAATTCCATCTGATTTTTTCACTTTCCAGTATGCAAATCAAGCAACAATGATTATATCGGCGTAAAACTTTGCGTGAATAATACGTTAAAAGTATGCCACCTTATGACCAAAAATTATCTAAATTGAATTAAAACTGTGCAAGCCCCTGTGGACCCCAGTGCCTATAGTTGACTTTTTAACGAAAATATCGGTCAACATAGAACAAGGCGGCAAGATCTACAAAGAAATCTAAAACGAGTATACCATTTGACTTTGCGAGAGTATAAAATGTTTGGTTACATCCGAACTTCGTCCTTCCTTACTAGTTTTTTTTTTTTGTTTTTTTAAACAATTATCTGATATATATCTATTAAGAGAACTAATTTGAAAATGCATTCGATATCTAATAAACAAACGTTTAGTTTTGTCATTGCATTCTAGCTTCTTTCAAATGTTTTTGGATATAATTATGTGATAATAAAACCATTTATATTATATACATATATAATATATATTTGCAATATGCATAATGGTTCTGCGTATCACCAAAAACTAATCGATATAGATATAGGGTTATATTTACATAAATGATCAGGATGACGTGACGAGTTGAAATCCCAATGTCCGTGCAAGCTATAACTTGAAAGGCGTAGCCCTGCTTCCTAATAAGTTAAATGTATATATCTCCAAAACCATTCAAGCTATTTCACCCAAAATTGCACAGCCTAAATATTTTTGTCCCTTCCTTCGACAGTGTGCAAATGGATGAAATCAGATGATAACCCCGCCCACTCCCTATATAACGGTTTTATTAAAAACTACTAAAAGTGTGATAAATCAATAAGTACATGTGTCGGAGACATTAAACTTTACATCCAAAATGGCACAAGAGGGTTTTAAAGGTATCGTTGTTAAAATTGGACGATGGGCGTGGCACCGCCCAAATTTAGGAGAAATCATATACTTATATCCGGAATTACTTGATCAATTTCAACAAAATTTGGTACATAAAATTATTTTAACAATCCTATCTCACAATGAGGAAATGAGCGTCTAAAACCACGCCTATTTCCTATCTAGCACAATTTAAAATTAAATATGATTCTTTCACTTTCCAGTATAAAAATCAAGTAGCAGAGAATATTTTAGGCCAAGGCTTTGCACAAATAGTGCTTTTAAGATACACCATCTCAAGTCTAAAATTTATCACAATCGGACCATAACTGTTCAAGCCCCAGTTACGGAATATAGGGACCCCAGTGGCTGGTGCTAACTTTTTACCTGAAATAACGGTCAGTCTGTGAGATATATTATAGCAATTCAGAGAGATTCTCTTTCTAATAATAGTATGCCTGCCAAAAATCGATTGAATCGAGTCAATACTTTGCGTAGCTCCCATATATCTTATGAACATATTTTCAAACTTCCTTATTAATTCCTACCACATATAACGGCAAATATATAATCTATTTCAATAAAATGAAGTGGATGTATTTTCCTTATAATGCTTCATCTTTGCGCCTAAAATGAGTAAAATTGGGCGAAAACTTGCTGTAGCCTCATATAACAAATTACAGAATTTTCAAACATATTTTATATTGATAAAATTCCTTGAAAATATGATTTCAAGTATACCTCAGCAATGTCAAAATCCTAATGGTATTTTCTTTGCTTTGATCATTGCAAGTTGCAAGAGTATAAAATGTGCGGTTCAACCCCAACTTAGTGCTTCCTTACTTGTTTTAAGTATTTTTCCACATTGGGACATCACCAACATTTGACTACAGAGTATAATAGTTTTGTTCACCTAATGTATGTTTGTATCAACTAAAAATAATCGAGGTAGATATGGGGTTATGTATATATAAATGACCAGGATGATGAGACGAGTTGAAATCCGAGTGACTGTCTGTCTGTCCGTCCGTGCAAGCGATAACTTGAGTAAAAATCGGATATCTGAATGAAACTTGGTACACGTATTCCTTGGCAAAAAATTGAAGACTAGTTCATAGGTGGGCGTAATCGGACCACTGCTACGACCACAAATCGCCATTAATCGAAAACTTATAAATTATCATAACTAAGCGGCAAATTAAGATACAAAACCGTAATTTGGTACAAGAAGTCGCAATAATGAGGTTTTTTGGTTTTAAAAATGTTTAATAGTGAGAGTGGCCCCGCCCTTTAATTTAATGTTTAATGTATATAAAAGTAGGTATCGCCGAAACTATTCAAGCTTTATCATTCAAGTTTGTACAGGACGTATCATTCCGACACCTCTTGCGACAGCATGAAAATATGTGAAATCGGATTATAACCACGACCACTATCCATATAACGGTTTTGTTAAAATCTCTTAAAACTGCGATAAATCAATAACTAAATGTGTCAGAGACATTTAATTTTACATCCGAGATGACACAAAAGAGCTTTATAAGAGCAGGTTTCAAAATTGGACAATGAGCGTGGCACCGGCCACATTTAGGTGAAATCACATATCTCCAAACCTACTCCCAGATATCAGAAATGTGGTCCCAAGAGCCTATGGCAGACCTTTTGCCGAAAAAATCGGTCAATCTGTGATATATACCATATAATTGAAATGCGAGTATAATGTTTTTTTTGATAATAAAATACCCATGTGGCAAAAAAGGATTGACTAGGATGAATACCTCCCTTAGCCCGAACTTCCTGTTGACTTTATACCACACGTATCGGCCAATGTGCTAGTTATTTTAATGAAATTAAGAAAGCGTGTTTTTCTAATAACAGTGCATCTTTGTGCTAGAAAGGGATAAAATGGCCGAAAACTTGCCTTAGCTCCCATATAAATGACAATCACGTTTTTGAAACGTCCTGCTGCCTTTACTCTATATATATGTTTACATTTAGATATTCATAAAATTGTTTGAAAATAAGTTCTCAAGTATACCTCAGTCAAAAATTAATGCAATCAGCGCTTCCATTTCTATGCCCCCCATTATTTTAGTATAATTTTCACTGACGGGAAGTAAAATATACACCCGAACTTACTTGTTGGTTACAAGAATCCGACCTCGCTTACGTGATTAACCTATGTATACTTCCGGGTATTTTTTCAAATTCAACCACTTCAGTTTTTATTTTATTATAAATGTATCCCACCAAAGGCATATCCCAATTATACATACCTATAAGAGGTAACCGTGTCAACATTGCCACAATCGGTTAAAACCGCTACGTTGTGACTCTAAAGATACGAACGAAGGCGATGTTTAAATTCCTGTTGGTTTAAATGGTCATGAAAACCACATTTTTTTCCTATGTTTCCAAAAAGTGGTCAAGTATGCTTTGATTTAGGCGATAAGTCAATATGTACCATACATTGAATTATTATTTTAAGGTCGGCATATAGGAGTTGATGGCAGTTATTTCATTGAATAATACCTAAATTAATGAAAATTTCATTACGAACTCGAACTTATTTTTATTATGTAAATTACCAAAACTTAAATAAATACTACATAATCATGCACTTTAAAATGATTGAGTTCTGACTAACCTCTGCGTCGCAAAAGATAACCCAAAACATTTTTAATCCAATCTTTTGGGAAATCTCAAGAAATGTGTATTTGAATCGAATAACAAACATATGTATGTACATGTAAATATGAAGCAAATTAAATAATTAAGCGAAATTTATAAATATTAATTTTTTTCGTAACAATTACTAATTCATATCACTCACATGAATTTTGACCACATTTTTGTGCACAATTACCGACTGCACACTTCAAGTCTAACACTTTTGAAACACACTTGATATAATTGAAAAAATGTGTAAAAATCGATTTTGATACACGTTTTTTTTAAACAATGCACGACCGCTGCGAATTTACCACTTTTCTAACGGATTTGATTTATTGAGTCAATCATTAGAAATGGCATCAGTCATTAAAGTTGCTATGTATAATATACTTTTCTTTGAAAATTCAAATTTTATGACAAATTGAAATAATCTTGAAGTCATAAAAAGTTTTTTAAACGCAAAACCATTTCACAACATCTTTGATATAAATTTTCATCAATTGCTAACCGGAACATGAACATTTAATTGCCTTTTTAATTAATATTTATGCTATTTCAAGAATAAAATAACACAAATATATTTAATAGACTATGGCAACCAACCTATTTGAACCAACTTCGTCATCATATGACATATGATTTCAAAGTTGTCGTAACCTTGTATTCTATGAACGTTGGGGCGCTAACCTGGTCTGGAGCAAGTATTTAACTTTGTTGATTTGTGAATTACTATGGAACCTAATCTTAACTTTAGTCTTTATATTAATATCATGGTTTTGCAAGCTAAAGGTGCTGCTAGTTTTGGAATAGGGCTTTAAGGTATGGAATCATAGTTACCAAAGTCATTCTGATAAGTTAGAGTTCGCTCGAAAACAAATTTTACTTTTAACTTTAGGACATATCCGATGAGATCCTAGGATAAGTCTTCCGCCATACACTAGTTATTTAAAGCTTCCATATTAGTCGTTTCTTGAAAGATAATAATAAATTTAATTAGAAAATGAGTTAGAGTTTGAAAATTAATTGACATATTTCTGTGTATTCATCAGATAGGTTTGCTTGGATTAAGGAATTAACTCAAGTGATATATTATTTAATTATATACTAGTATTTATTAAACGTAATTTTTAATAATTTTGTTACCACAGATAGGCTTTTGCATTTGTATGTTTTATATATTAATTTCTCTTATCATATCTTCCAAATGCTTCTCTTCTTTGTTAATGAGTGGTAACCATTCTTCGGAAGGAATAACCAACGGTTGATGTTTAAAATGGACTGATTCTGTTGTGATTTTATTGTAACATTTCTTTGCAGATGTATTATCTTCAATTATGTCTAGCAATTTATTAATTTCTTGTAAAAGTTTGTCAATAGAAAGTAAAAACAATTCGAAATCATATTCAATATAATAACTGTTATTACCGTGGGGAATACTAGTTTCTTTGGGTAAGGAAATAATACTCCGCTGTGACTGATTTGACTGAATAGCATACGGCTCAAATTTTTTCGAGTTGTTATCATCAGCCAAATCCCCATATTCAAAATTCCATGATAAAAGAGTTGGTTGTTGAAGACTTGGTCTAAAGCCTTTTTTTCGTAATTTCTTAATATCAGTTTCAATATTAGGAACGCTTCTTGACTGTCCAGAATCGAATGAGTTATCAGATTTATAATGCAATTTCTTATCTCGTTTCGCGAAATATTCACTAACTGCATTTTTTTCTACACCATTTATGTCCTCTAAATGCTTCATATTTTCGTAATTAGCCAAATATGTATTCAAAAAGATATCTCCAGGAATCCTTGGAAGTAGGGTTTGAGTAGCTGCATTGGAAACTCTCACATAGTCAGTCATTTGGGCAACGGAATATGTTAAAATAACTGAAATAAAAAAAGTAAAAACCAAAATTCAATCCAAGTAACACAAATCTCTATATTCATCATATATACATATATGTGCAACCAAAAGTAACGATATGAGAACCTTATGTATTTGTAATATTTTTACAGGTACCGTTATTTTTTTCTACTATTATTTGAGTAGAGTCAAAATGTACTTTTGGTAAGCGAATTTATTTTATGCGGTTGTAGTTTTTTTAGAAAAACTGGTAAATAAACCAACATTTAAATATTTTCAGCTTCAGGCAGTGAAATATTGGCAAGAGAACAAAATTCCACGCGTAATAGGCAATATTAAAAAAAAAGTAAAGACGATATGAGGTCATCTGATGCCATCTCAGAGATAATATTTAATGTCCCTGGCGTGTTCAGTGCTTGATTTATCGCGCTTTTAGTAGTTTTTAACAGTACATTTTTTAAAAAACTTTTAAACTGCAGGTGTCGTTTCCCAATGTGATCCTATACACCAAATAACAGTCTTGTCTCTTATTTTGGAGCTTGAGTTAGGTTAGGTTAGGTTAAGAGGTCGATCCCAAAAAGGATCGATCCGTCGACCAGCGTCTGCTGAGTGCACGCGAGGTCCAGTGATACAAAGCTAGAACGCAAGACGTTAAAGGAGATCCAACTCGATACCATTCCGATTTGAGCGAGGCAAGGGTGCCCCCCGAGTTGAGCAAGTAGTAAATACTGTTCAACATAGAACAAGGCGGCAAGATCACCAAATTCGCTCTGAAGAGCAAATAAGAAATACTCGAGATCATAGATCTCGTCGAGAAAATCCCAAGGTACGTTATGATGAACAAAGTAGGAACATTAGGGATCATAGAGAACTTCGCGCAAGAAATCCTAAGTATAGGACTTTAGAGCGACTTCTTGATCAAATGCAAAAGGAACATGCAAGAAAAAATATTGAAATAAGGAGAGAGGAGCGTGATAGAGAGGAAGAAATTTTCAGAGAGTGAATCAGAGACGTCTTAGACAAGGCCAAGTTCGCCTTTGTAGAGATAACCCACTCAATAGGCAAATTGAAAACCAAAGGCAGTCCCAACGAATCCGATTAATGGGAGAAAATAATGTTATAGAAACTGATAATAGTCGCAATTTAACAGATTACAAAAACATTTATTTCCAAAATATAAATAAGGGCCCTACTGAAATATGTATTTGCTGCGGCGGCTTATGGATTTCACACCAAGTTCGCAAATTAAATTTCGAAACTATTGCGCAAGGTCACCCGAATGCTGCATCCGCCTTCTTTTTAATACAAAAATTTCCTTCAGAAGATGGAAATTACAATTTTTGTGCTACTTGCAAAAATGCGGTTGTTAAAAAGAACGTTCCAAAAATAAGTTTAGCTAACGGTCTAGACTTTTATGAAATACCGGATTGTTTGAAAGGTTTAACCCCAATTGAAGAATGTCTCATAATGCCTAGATTGCCTTTTATGACAATCCGTCCGTTAGGATATCAAGGTCAGAGTTTGCTCAAAGGTGCTGTTGTTAATATACCAATTTCTGTTAACAATATTGTGACATCTCTCCCAAGGTCCTTTGATGAGGCTCATGTTATACAAATTCACTTAAGAAGGCGTTTGGAATACAATGATGATTACATGATCGATACCATAGGGCATATCACTCATTGAAACTCGAGTAGTTAATTTCGAAGAAGTTCCCGATGATGCCATACATTTATTTTGGTCCAATGGAGAGACAAATAATTTCAATGGCCTTAAGTTCAGTCGAATCCCAACTGAAGCTATCCTTTCAACTGCGAAAGACTCAATTAAAGGAATTGGTATAAGTGAAAATGATAATATTTTGGAAAGAGTTAAACCGTTAAAAGTTCTGAAACGCAGGGACTGCCCTATGAATTGATACTATAAACATCCGCCAAATATATGATTACAGTGAATATAAACCCGTGTGATGGCTTGGTTAATGGGGCAACTGAACAACTTATGCAAATTGATTTCCATTGTTCTTTTCCAACAATTCTGTGAATTAAATTTTTGGAACCTTCTGTTGGTTTGATAGCACGATCAAAAAAGGATCATCCTTTAGAAAGTTCTTGGACACCAATTGAAAAAGTTCTAAAATCTTTTCAATATAAAAAAAATTAACAAATTTCAATTGAAAGAAATCAGTTTCCAGTTGTTCAGGCTGAAGGAATAACTATTCACAAAAGTCAGGGTACCCCATATAATAAAGTTGTAGTTCATGCTCGACCCAGAATGCCTAGAGCTTCAATATATGTCGCTTGTAGTCGAGCTACTTCTGCAGAAGGTCTATTCATCAGAGGAAATATTATTCCTCCTAACAAATTTTCTGAATCGGATCCCGTATTTAGGGAACTGAGGGAATTGAACACAAATAAAGCTTTGACAACAAGTTTCAGTTTTATTATTTCCCGAACATCAGGACATCAAATTTTATTCCATAATGTTCAGAGTCTTCACGCTCACATTAATGACATAAAAAGCGACTGTTTGATGCTATCTTCAGATATTTTATGTTTTGTAGAAACTTGGAGTTATCCTTGCGAAAGTTTCGATATACCAGGATTTACTCCAATTAACGAGCTAAGGATAGATAGCACGGAAACAACCAACAGAAATAAACGTGACATTATAATATATGCAAAGCATAGTATTGCTTCCTCTATAGAATCAAAGGCTGTAAAGAAAATTTATTCAGTCTGCAAAGTTTTAGAAACGGCTTTGTTTAAATGTTTCTATATTAATATTCTGGTTCTATATAGAAATTCAGCTTTCTCTGTCAGACATTTAATTGTAGAACTTCAGGAAGTCCTTACTTCTGAGTTAGGCAATCAAAATGTGCTAATTGTTGGAGATTTTAACATTTGTTTAATGTCTACAGGGACTGCAATAAGAAATCTGCTCCAAGAAAAAAACTTTAGTTCCCCGCTAGGTGTAGAATATTCAACTACACCTGCCGGTACACAAATTGATTGGGCATTTTTAAACATGGATCCTTCCCGTGTTAATGCAATTACTTTTGAGACAGTACACAGCTATCATGACAGTATTTGTGTCTCTATTTCGAACTAAAGTTTTCAGACTTAGTGCAATAGTTCTTAATTTTTTTTCCAAATATATATTAAGAAATGGTATAGAAATTTTGACAGTAGTTTGTAAGACAATTTTAAGAAAAATATGTAACTAATCTTATTAAGAAAATCTAAATTATATGTATAATTTGTTATTATATATGACATTATTGTATAATATATGATAGAAATTAAACAATAATATAATATAATAATATAATTTTAAAAGTTGTTATTATTTATTATTTTTAGGCTAAACATGTATAAAAATATCGATATAATAAACAAAAAATGTTATTCATTGTCCAAAAACGATTTCTATTCATACTTCTCAATACAGTTGAGTTGTTGTTGAGTTGTAATGCATTCTATATAAAATCAATTATAAGCGTATACGAAAAACACAAGAACGATTTCTCATAATTTCACTGTGAATGTAAATATAAAAACTAAGGAAACAGTTCTAACTTCTAATTATAATATTAAAATATATAAAGAAATCTCAAACGAGTATACCATTTAACTTTGCGAGAGTATAAAATGTTCGGTTACATCCGAACTTAGCTCTTCCTTACTTGTTTTTTATTAATTATTATTTTAAATTAATTCTTACTTGAAATGTATTAAACAAGAATATACGAGTCTGCAAAATGCGGCTACAAAAACCAAATTTGTTCTGGACAATTCCTTTAAAAACCCCTCCCGACAGTATGGAAATGGATGAAATCGGATTATAACCCAGCCCTCTCCCCATATAACGATTTTGTTAAAAAGTTAAGTCTTAAGTGCAATAAATCAAAAATTTAATACGCCAGAGACATAAAATTTTACAGCCAGGATGATACAAGAGGGCTTTATATGAGCCGAAGTCAAAATTGTATAATGGGGGTGGCACCGCCTGCATTAAGGTGAAATTACATATCTTCGGACCTACTGACGATTTTATGCTACATTGTGAAAATGGGCGCTATCGGACTACAACCACGCTTACTTCTCATATAGCACATTTTAAATTCCATATGATTCTTTCCAGTGCACAAATTACGAACCTATGAGTCTATTCAGATAAAACTTTGCACAAATAGTACCACTAAGATATACCATCGAGAGTCAGCAGTGCGTATGGCTGACTCTTTGCCGAAAATATCGGCCAACATGTGAGACATATAATAGAAATTCGGGGAGAATGTTTCTTTGAGGATAAAATACCATTGTGTTAAAAATAGGTTGCATCGCCTCAATACTTCCCTTAGCCCCCATATACCGAATATAAAGATTTTGAAACTTCCAGTTGACTTTACAGCACATATATCGGCCAATGTGGGAACTATTTAAATGAAATTGAGAGAGCCTATTTTCCTAAGAGTGTAAATGGATAAAATCGGATAAAATTTTTTGAAACATTCGGCTGACTTTACTTCATATATACGTTTATATTTATCAGCGCTTCCGTTTCCGTTAATGGATTAGGCTCCATATACATGAATTGGTCTTGGTCTAAATCCCATATGCCTAATCTAATGAATTCCGATCCTTTGCTTGACTTTTGCACATCAAATATTAAATTTAATCTCTTCGATTGAGTTTATATCACATACATATATCTTATTTAGGGATGATTGTAGTACAACTTTCGCTGACGGGAAGTAAAATATAGTAAAAAAACTGAGCCTATGACCTCCAGAATTAGTTAATATGATACCAAATTTGATTGTAATCCATTCACGATTTCGTCAATAAATGAAGTTGTACCCTTTCCCAACACCTGAAGGTAATTAGCCGGCTTTCCAAGTCTCAAGTATAAAACGTTCGGTTACACCCGAATTGTTTTATATACTTATGTATATGCAATATACATATGCATATCTTTCATCGTATAAAAATTAGATACTCTTTTTAATAAACATGTTCACATTCAGGAATTAAAATCATGATATTATATTATCACTTATCAACAAATATATAAGTACAAGTGTGCGCACTGCTCTATTCCTACATATGGTATATATGTATATATATGCGTACACATAAAAGTATGTCAGCCAATAGCAAAAAAATCAAACACTATCATACAAAAACAGAAATTGTCTCAAATAGCAGGAGCAGAAGGATACCAGCAGTGGTGGAAGCTTTGACAATCGACAAGAAGGCGCCTGGACTTGATGACATTCCAAACAAAGCACTTAAAGTCGCAATAAAAAATAACAAGAAGGTCTTCGTTGAACGTTATTATTGGTGCCTCAAATTATACATATTTCGCATAATCATACAGAAAGTGGCAGTTCTGCTGGCCATATTATTTCCAATGATGCCTAATTAGCTCTCTCTAATGTATTTGCATACAAAAAAGGACAAGATTTGCGTTAATTAAAATATTTTTTAATTAAATATAGTGTACACTACACACATTTTTTGGATCAGACCAAATATCTGTTGTGAAAGTTATGTATTCTATAGTTGACAGTTTAGTTTTAAAAATTTCGCTAAATTTAAAAAAAAAATTTAAGTGGCATTTTGGAATAGACATTGACGAGAAATATTCGGACACAAGTAACAAAATTATACCTATATAGTCCACTGCCTCGTTTCAAAAAGCACTTCATGTTAGCTGTAGTTGATGAACTCGTTGCAATAGAGGCGCAGAAGCTAGCGATTGATGAAATCATCAAAAGAATGGGCGCATTAGAAAATGTTAGTTTAACATATTCTTGATCCACAATTCAAAAGAATGCATTTCAGAAATACTTTAGCCTTTGCAAATGCTGAAGGAAAAATAAAGAATTTAATTAAAAAGATTAAATAAAATTTTGTTTTTACAAAGCATCGAAAAAAGATATTGAGATTTATAAACTTGATATTAATTTAATTAATTTCGCTGTACATAAAACCTACCTAACATATTACTTTCTGGAAAGACATAAACTTACTGAACACCATTTACAAGATACCAGCCATCCCAATATACAAGTAATATAGGCTCACGTGTGTCGATCGCACTCCGAGAGTCGAACCGGCTTGATTTCGTCCCACCAATCGAACATCTAATATGTATAAGGCATATAAATTGATTGTGATGTTAGATGTCCCTGTTTGGGATGTTTTTTTTGGCACTAATGACAAATATTTTTTCTTATTCGCATTCTTTCTATAAGATTAAAAAATGAGATAGCAAGTTTTATTGGTTCGGGAATTTCGAAATTGATAACAAAAGTAATATCCCGTGTGTTAGGGCTTGAAGAAAAAATATATAATTGTGTTGAAATTTCTGGGGAAAGAGGTTAGTTGGCAGGGTACATAAGTATTTGTGTAATTTTGTAAATTTGTATTTATCTATTTTTTTCCTTTTTTAGCATAATTATCCGCGTAGATGCATGATATAACCTATAAAACTGTGCTTATTAAATTTTTAAATGAATTTGTTTATATTTTGTTTTATGTAGCTATTACAGTTTTTATTTTGTTTTGGATTATATATACTCGTATAATATTATATACAGGGTGGCTCACGAATCGTGCTACAAAAACAAACCGTAATAACTTTTTTTCTGTGTCAGTAATCGAATTAGTTTTTTTGTTATAATATAATATAAATTTTTTTTTAAATGAATGCTTGGGGTACCGAAAGACGGTTTTGGATAAAGCAGCGGTATAATGCTTTGCACTCCGTCATTTCCGTCCAAAAGGAATTCAGACGAGATTTTGGCGGTATTATGGTTGGTAAACATGTTTGTTCTAAATCTGGAAGTATCGCAAGAAGACCGTACCATCGAAATCCGTATGTTGGAGTTCAAGAAACAATCGCGGCTGTTACATCGTCAATTCAGGCAAATCCAAAAATTTTCAACTCGCAACTTACCGGCGTAACTTGGAATTAGCAGACGGTCATTACAACAGATAATTCATGATGACTTAAACCTTTTTCCGTAGAAAGTTCAAATAACAAGCCGGTTAAACCCTCTAGATTTGCTTATTCGTATGGAATTTTGCCTAAAAATTATTGAAATGGGCGAAGAAGACAATAATTTGATAAATTGCCTGTTTATGTCTGATGGCGCCCATTTTGAACGGAATGTAAATGAGCAAACTTGCCGTATATCAAGTGAATCAAATCCAAAAAAAAAATCTACGAGACAGAATTTCACCTAGATGCGCCGAAGACGTAACCCTTTAAATAGCGTTTGGTTCCAGCAAGATGGAGCAACTGCACACATAGCCAGACCGGTTATTGAGAAGCATATCGCATCCGCATATACAAGTATCATCTTTTTCTGTGGTAATCGCAAAAATGGATAAAAGCGGTTCAATACTATCCCTATATCTCATATACCAAATATAAGATTGTCAAACTGCTGCTTGACTTTATACCGTATATATCGGCCAATATGTAAGATATCGTAACAAAAGTAACTGAACGGATAATATTGGATATACTATAGTTTAATGCCGAAACTAAAGCGAAACGCTTACATGATAAAATTTGGTACCTTTAAATTTTTTATTTTCTTTTTTGAGCAGTTTTATTTCCTGTTTAAAATTTACAATATCTTTGGTTTTGTTAATAATGTTGAATAAAAAGGGTTTATTTGCAGTTCTGGGATATCTTCAACGTCTTTTACGCAAAAAGAAAATAATACTTTATTAATCTCCGATTGTATGTGATGAGATGCTGTTATACGGTCGGTGGTACATCCGTCTCTTATTGTGATAATGTCTTAACTAGAAATTTTCATTCGCATTCGTTAATTCTGTATAAAAATATATATCACTGTTTTGCTATATAATTCGTAAAGCCAATGATTTTGAGAATATAAATTTAGGCAAATAGGGATGTCATGTACCGAATTTGGTTGGAATCGGTTAAGCCGACCCGAATATATGGGTTTTCACTTAAAAGTAGGCGGTGCCACGCCTACTGTCTAATTTTGAAAGCAGTTCCTATAAAGTCATCTCATACCATCCCTTTAATAACTCTGGCGTGTTTAGTGCTTGGTTTATTGCGCTTTTAGTAGTTCTTAACAGTACCGTTATATGGGGAGTGGGCGGGGTTGTCACCCGATTTCATCCATTTTCACTCTTTCGATAGAGGTTTGCACTCAGTGAACTTTGTTATTATAGCTTTAGCGGTTTAGGTTTAATTTTAAACTGCAGATACGTCTCCCTTATTAGATCCTGTTTACCAAATAACAGTTTTGTATATTTTTGTGGAGCTTAGTTACGAAAATTTATTTGATTTAGATTATTGGCGTTTTGTGGGCGTGGCAGTGGTCCGATTATGCCCATCAGCAATACCAACCGTCTTATAGCACCAAGAAACATGTGTACCAAGTTTCATAAAGATGTTTCAATTTTTACTCAAGTCACAGCTTGCACAAACGAACGGACCGAGGACAGTTACTCGAATTTCAACTCGTCTCTTCATCCTGATCATTTGTATATATTTAACGCTATATCTAACTCGATTAGTTTTAGGTGATGCAAACAACGGTTAGGTGAACAAAACTATTATACTCTGTAGCAACAGACGTAATCGAAAGACTGAAGCTATATTAACAAAATTCACTAGAAGCAAATGTTTTTAGCACTTCTATTGACGGTGTGAAAATAGTTGAAATCGGGTGGCAACTCCGCCCACTCCCCATATAACGGTACTGTTAAAAACTACTAAAAGCGCGATAAATCCAGCACTAAACACGCCAGAGACATTAAATTGTATCTCTAAGATGGTATAAGATGACTTTATAGGAACCGCGTTCAAAATTAGACAGTGGGCGTGGCACAGCCCACTTTTAGGTGAAAACCCATATCTTGAGATCTGCTTAACCGATTTCAACCAAATTCGGTGCATAACGTTCTTTTCATGTTTCTATGTCATAGTGCGAGAATGGGCGAAATCGGATTACAACCACGCTTACTTCCCATGTAACACCATTTTCAATTCTATCTGATTCTTTCACTTTCCACTATGCAAATCAGGTAACAATGATTATATCGGGGTAAAACTTTGCGTGAATAATGCAATTAAAGTATGCCTTGCAGCCAAAAATTGTCTAAATCGAACCAAAACTGTTCAAACCCATAAGTACTAAATATATGGACCCCATTGCCAATAGTTGACCTTCTACCGAAAATATCAGTCAATCCACAAAGAAATCTCAAACGAGTATACCATTTGACTTTGCGAGAGTATAAAATGTTCGGTTACATCCGAACTTAGCCCTTCCTTACTTGTTAATTTCTGACTTTATTACCAATTATATGTAAGACAATTTATCTTCTTACTCGTTTTACAAATCGCCAAATATAAGTCACACTTATTAATTTGGTTAAACTAGAATATTTTGATATTACCTTATCGAAGAAATTAGATTATTTTGGTGTCGTAACATACAATGAATCGATTTTAAAACTCTTCTGTGCTAGCCATTGATGTTCTTCTTCTTGTAACCATTTGGGACCTCTCTACTATACAAGATCGTGATCTACCAGTTTGTTTGCGAATACCTTCCTGGATGCTACATCGGCTGGATTGTAATTTGTTTCAACGTGTTGCCCTATCGCAGTGTAATCAAACAATTTAATCTCTTCTAATCTGTCTTTACTTAAGCAATTATTTATCCATACTAACGTTATAGATGAATTGCTTCAAGCAAATATTTTAACATCTCTGTTGATAACTGTTTTTATCCGTTGTAGTAATTTAACAAGTAGGTGAGCTGCGCATAGTTCCCGGCCTGGCCAGGTCTTCTTATTTTTAATTGGATTTACTTTGGTTTTACCAGCAACTAATGTTATAACCGATCCAACTTTAGCATATACTACTGCTGCGTAAGCTTTCTCTGAAGCATCTGCGAATCCAGGTAGATCAAATCCTTCTTAAATATACCTTCTCCTCATTAACGGTGATTCGATCCGACTTATTGAAGTTCAGATCAGCTATGGTATAGTTTTTCCATTGTTCTATATCCCATTTAAACGTGATGTCTGGCGCACTCGCCAATTTTGGAAAAATTAGTGCGTCGACATTATTTGGTATACTTCGTCGCTTAGGAATCGGAATCTCGGCTTATTTACTTTACATTTGCAAACTCCCAATATATTTATTACATCATCGAATATAAAAATTGAGTCCGCTTTGGCTTCAGTGGGCTTGATAACATCAACGTTTTCACTAAATGTATAAAGATTTATTCCTTTTATCGGATCAATAAGCCTTTTTAAATAGATATATTTCGGCTGATATAATGATTTTGAATAAATGCCTTGTAGTTCAGTTACTTCTGTTCTCTTTGGTAGATTTAAATATTTAAGCTTTTTTTGGCAAATAGTTGTCTTTTGTGATCCTTAACCGATTAGAGCTCGCAATGTCACGTACTATCCATTTTCTGCCCTGAGCTGGTGCAAAGAGAATTGCCGTTTCCGAGTTTTTCGTCATCATTGTGGAGGATTTTTCGGCGATATTTTCTTAATTTGCTATTTTTGGAATTATAATGCAGTCAATTATGATAATTTCTTTCACACTTATTGCGTTTTTTTTATTATGACAATTGCCTTCATATACGTGATCAAGCAATGCATAGCTTGTTGCTTATTATGAATCTCCTACGATTCATCGTAGTCAATGTCTGGAACTTTCGGCATTAAAAAATGGTATGCCCAGGAACTTTGCAGAGTACACAAGTGGTTAGTGTAACTGTATAAAATGTAGGTATTCGTTGTGGCTGCTTTTGATTGTTCCATTGAACTTTTCTATCTCGTATGGCTGGTGGTTGTTGAATTAATCTACCAGCGTCTTCACCTTAAGATGCCTTCAGTCGGAACATCTTTTCTACTTCAGCAAAGTGCTTCGAATTTCACCAAATCTTAGAAGGTGACCATTGTTTTATCTCTTTATAAAATATGGGAATTTTAATTTGCAGCAGTTTTATATTAGAAGACACTGATTGTATTGCAGTGTTCTTCTTTAAATTTTTCAGGATGATTATATTTTACACGAAGTTCCTCCAATTGTTTCTCCAATAAGTTTTTAATATTGACTTTTAAAATGCTTCTCAAGATGTTCAAACTGTATTTGGAGCTTAGTTCTGAGCTCTTTCATTTCGTTGACAGAATCCAATGCATTTTGTTGAATTTCTGCTAATGTCACTTTGAGTTTTTGTGCTCGACGTTGAAATCTTTCTGCGTTGGAAGCAGTATCTGATGGTTCGAACTGACTAATTTGCGTGGATCCAGTAAGACACTTGCTGCTTACTGCTAAAGAGACTTCGGCAACATTTAAATTTTTAATCTGAATGGAATTTTCCATTATTTGCACCTGCTCATAATATTTTTTATCAAATTTTATGCGGACTTTTTTTAGCCATCATATTGTTGTGATTCCCTTTGAATTCTGTCATAATAGTCTAAATATTATATGTTCAATATAGGACGCCTTTTAACACTTTTATTTCTTTTCGATTTTCGCTTAAATTTTCATGCGCAGTATGTATGTATACATATTTATATACATACAAGGTGCGTTCCAGAGTAAACAGGACTTTCAAAAAAAAGACAGAACAAATGGTTTTATCAGCAAAATCAATTAATTTTTTTGAAAATAGTCTCCTTCTGCTTTAATGCAGCTTTTTGTACGGTCCAAAAGCATGCCGAACGAATGTTTTAGCTCGTTGCCCGGTATGGCGGCCAGTATGCCGGTGCAAGCCTTTTGAATAGACTCCACGTCTGCATAACGCTTTCCTTACATCGGCAAATGCATTTTTCCGAAAAGATAGCAGTCGCACGGTGCCATATCAGGTGAATGCGGGGAGTGGTTGATTGTTAAAATGTGATTTTTGGTCAAATAATCGGCCACAAGCGTAGATTGATGGGACGGCACATTATCGTGTAACAAACGCCAACTTCCATCCAAACGCTTCAAAACTCCGAGGTAGAATACCACATTAACATTTTGGCCGGGTGGAACAAATTCTTTGTGGATAATACCCTTGGAATCATAAAAACAAATCAGCATTGTCTTCACTTTTGACTTCTACAGGCGCGATTTTTCGGGTTTCGGCTCATCGTCATTTATGTCCTCACGACCATTTTGAAAACGTTGAAGCCACTCGTGCTCTCTGCTACGGGATAGGCAATCATCGCCATAAACTTGTTTCATCAATTGAAACGTTTCGGTTAAAGTTTTACCAATTTTAAAACAAAATTTAATGTTGGCTTTTTGTTCGAAGCTCATTTTCGCACCGATGACAAAAACATACTGACACTTAAAACGCAATAACTTCACTTCCAATAGATGAAATGTCATGAAATTTTTACTAAAAGTCGATAAAGGATAGCAGATTCTAACGCACTAGACGAAATATAGATGGCGCCACTAGAGTTTTCTTTGTTACTTTTTTACTGTTTACTTTGGAACGCACCTTGTATACGATACTATTCGATGAATTACTTACGATCCACGCGAAATCATCTATTTCAATAAAGTCAAATAAATAAACTATAAGAAAGGCTATCAAATGTACGTTTCTTGCTTAGCAATTCAATTAATTAAGAATTAAAAAAATGTGAAACTCGGTGTCAACCCACCGACATCTTTTACGAAGTTTACACGACTTGACCCTCATTTCGGGACATGTTCACAGCTCTTTTTATCTACAAGTATAGCCTAAAAATAATTAATGTTAAGAAATATTTCGCCTTACGCAGAAAACCCGAGACGAAGTAAGAGAAATAATTAAAAACACATCTAACAAACGATGATTGGAAAAATTGGGCTACCAATATGACAATAAAAGAATGCAAGTAAATACTCAACTACAAGTATATACTCTTTTCAACTTATTCTTGGCGTCTCAAGAGAAGAGCTGAGCGATAGAAAGCTTACAACGAACGACTAATAATGTCTTAATAACTGCGTGAACTGCATGACCAAATACTAGAGTCGTTAGTGTCACAAAAAACACAATAGTCAAGTTTTGTAGGGTTTCAAATTCAAACGTATCGAAAGCAGCTTTGAAATCAACAAGAAGATGGTGCTTGTCTATCTGTTATTATCTAGTCGATGGTTGATTTACCAGATTTTGCTGATGGGCGTCAGTCTTTCAAAGAGTACGTCCAATAAGACTTTATACGCGATGTTAAGAAGGGTGATCCCGCAGTAGTTGGCAAATTGCGGAATCACCCTTGTAGATAGAGTAGAGAGCACTTAGGTTCTAGTCGTTGAACATGCGTTCCTCCGAACAGATTCAGTAGAGGAGTTGATGTATGTGCAGTACCAGCTCTTCGCCGTCGTGTTTGACTAACTCAGCCGATAGGCCTGCGGCTTTGTTGTTTTTAAGCTGAGCAATGGCTATTCGAACTTCGTGTTGGTCGACTGGTGGTACGACAACGTTGTAGTCAATGACTGTGGATTCGGGTTCTAATTCCATCCTATCAATAGCACTGCTGTCACCGTTCAGCCAGTTTGAGAAGTGTTTCCTCCATATCCTTAGTATGCTCCGGACATCTGTCACCATATTGCTTTAAAGCAGATAGTCGCAGAATACGTGAGTACGAGGAGCTTGAGATGCTGGCCGACAGGAACATGGTCCAAGACTTCTATCAGAAAATCTCCCGCCTAACTAAAGGCTTTAATGCCTTGTTCATGCAATTATTTCTACCTTTCTCTTCTTCTGTTTGAAAACGCCTCTCTTTCCTTCTCCTCTCACGATATCGCACCTTAACTAGATTTGGAGTTGGTGGTAATGGCCAATGATCTGTTGTTTCAGCGGTAATCTAGTCCCCACTTAGGTGGTAAGGTTCACGTTCGTTATCATCGAAATGATCTAACTTAAACCAGGAAACGTGCTGTTTTGACGAGCTAGGACCATCGAAAAAGGGGTGTCAGATGAGTGAACCCCAATTCGTTGGCCATGCAAAAAGGTGGGTAGAGTCATGCGGGGACTATTGCACGGTGAACATATATTTGGTATGTTGGGGTCTATTCTGGATAAGTAGGAGTTTAATCTGTTATAGTTTCCAGAACGAAGTTGCGCTAGGGTTCCTCTAGATTCTTCTGGCAACTCGAGCTCTTCGTCTGGAATGGGTGGTCGTTTGACTCCAAGTACGCCATTCAGTGAGAGGGAGTCGGTTCTGCGAAAACATCCCAGCAGAAACTGCTCGGAGAGGAGTTCATCATGTTCTTGAACCGGAACCATGCGTGCCTCACTGTGTAAATGTTCAACCAATTTATTTAACATTTGTCGAATTTCCAAGTTGAGATCCCTTGCTTGGGGATCACAGGAATCGGTATAGCGTAAGTTGTCGCGATCTTTTGCTAAAACAGCTGCATCGGGATGAAGCAAGTGGCGATACAGTGCGGGGATCTCGGTAAACTCTGTGAAGCCGACCCAGCTAGCTATTTTGAAATTAACAAAGGTAAGGTTGTCCACAGAAATAAAGTCGGGAGGTTCCTCGGTCAAAATAATTATGAGCAGATGGTCTAATGCGAGGGTTAGCATATGTCGTCAGGTTGTGCTATTTATCAGACCACTGCTAGCGATGATAATATCTGGCGAGCTAATACAAGTACCCATAATTCTGTCGAACCGTCTATTCCTTCCGCCTCCCTACAATCGTTTGACAGGCAGGAGTACCAAAGATCGTGGTGCCCCTTAAAGTCGCCTAGTATCAAATTTTTTTCACGAATTAGCGGGTGATATGCTGTTGGGCAAATGTAGCTGGAGGGATGTGTATATTAAATTTTTCGAGCTCGACCTTGCCTGACCAGATAGCTATGCCCTGACCTTCCAGGTTAGTATCCCTACGAGCGACGTCGCCATCGATGAGACGATATAGCACTGTGTTGTGCAGTATGAACGCTAGGCCTCCACTATTATCTCGCTGACGATCCTTACGTATAACGTTGAAACCTGCACAACTCTGATGATCTGAGTGGCTGTTTTACCTAATTTTAAGCGATGTTGACTCCACGCATCGTTCACATGTGTGATCCGGAGACAAGTTCTTTACATGGCAGCTGTAGTAGATATCACATAACTCTCATTTACTACACCCATGGGCCGTCCATCGTATTTCCTCAATGGCGATGATTTACTTGTCTAGAACATCCTTCAGCTGGGCAGAAGCATCTTCTTTATAGAGGGTTCTGATAGTCCCAGCTCTATACCTGTAAATGATAGTCCGTTGTTCGTTTGCGGGGATCGGCATCAAAAAGAGGGTCATCATGCTATGCCGTCCCTGGCGTAATGGTCAGCGATATTTCACACAAATACTCATTAATTCATGATCGGAAGCCTCTTTTATATCTCAAAACCTTCTACAAATATATATATATTTTGGATATACCCTTTATAGCATAAGTGGCTTGACTAAACAATGTGGTGGAATCGAGGTTCCTTCATCCTTAAACACAAATTACAATCAACACAAGCATGACCTGAATAACCTATCCGAAAATTTACCCTCACACCCAAAGCTGTGCCTTAAGAATCTTGGATTCACTCTAGCAGACACTCAATTCTACACACCGATGCCCATGGACATACTAATTGGTAGTGATATCCATCCAAATATTATAAGCTATGGAATAAAACGAAATATTCTAGGCTCACTCCTAGCCCAAGAAATAGATCTCGAATGGGTTTTGTTCGGCCCCACAAC